ACCTTATTCTAAAATTGATTAAATTACTCTTCAATTCATTGGACATGATTTGGAAAGGCACAGTGCATGTCAGAGCAAAAACCAAGCCATGCGGTCGAAGGAATTGTCCGTAGAGCTCCGAGACAAAATTGTGTTGAGGCACAGATCTGGGGAAGGGTACCAAAAAGGTTCTGCAGCATTGAATGTCCCCAAGAACACAGTGGCCTCCATCATTCTTAAATGGAAGAAGTTTAGAACCAGCAAGACTCTTCCTAGAGATGGGAGAAACTTCCAGAAGGACAACCATCTCTGCAGCACTCCACCAATCAGGCCTTTATGGTAGTGGCCAGACGGAAGCCACTCCTCAGTAAAAGGCACATGACAGCCTGCTTGGAGTTTGCCAAAAGGCACCTAAAGACTCTCAGACCATGAGAAACAAGATTCTCTGGCCTGATGAAACCAAGATTTAACTCTTTGGCCTGAATGCCAAGCGTCACGTCTGGAGGAAACCTTGCACCATCCCTACAGTGAAGCATGGTGGTGGCAACATCATGCTGTGGTGATGTTTTTCAGTGGCAGGGACTGGGAGACTAATCAGGATCGAAGGAAAGATGAACGGAGCAAAGTACAGAGAGATCCTTGATGAAAACCTGCTCCAGAGCACTCAGGACCTCAGACTGGGGCGAAGGTTCACATTCCAACAGGACAACGACCCTAAGCACATAGCCAAGACAACGCAGGAGTGGCTTTGGACAAGTCTCTGGGTAAACCTCTCAGTTTGGGAACCACTGACTTATAGTGTTGCCATTTCTAAATCCTATGTATTACCTACCACTGTGTGTGATTGTACAGTATGTTTCTGCGCATCACGATGTGATTTGTACGTGTGTATACATAGGTACCCTTTTGTGTGTGTGTGTGTGTGTGTGTGTGTGTGTGTGTGTGTATGTGTATCGATGCGTTGGATGTCAGCCAGTGGCCCCCTTCTGTTCCCTCTCTGGGGTGTCCAATCAAAACACAGAGCTGGATTCCATGAGCCCAACACAGCTGATCCCAGACCTGCCCCATGAGCAATTACCCAGAGTGCACTGCAGCCTCGCGGCAAGCTGGACAAGCCTGTGCCCTCTGACATATGAGGGAGGGGAGGGGGAGGGGGGAATAACTAACATCCATGATGCACCATGGCTACTGTTCAACATGGCTACTGTTCAACATGGCTACTGTTCACCATGGCTACTGTTCACCATGGCTACTGTTCAACATGGCTACTGTTCACCATGGCTACTGTTCAACATGGCTACTGTTCAACATGGCTACAGTTCAACATGGCTACTGTTCAACATGGCTACTGTTCAACATGGCTACTGTTCAACATGGCTACTGTTCAACATGGCTGCTGGACAAAGACATGTTTGCCCCACAACACACAGGCAGGCATCAGGGGAGGGTAGAGGAGAAGGGAGGGGGGGATGGGCCTGCGTTATTACCCAGAGTATGTACGGACCCCATGGAGACAGTGCCAACCATACAAACAGGTCTGAGTAATTACCCATAATACCCGGCTGCTGCCACGATGCCAGAGCCGTCCAAGTGGGTCGATGTAGGCATTGGTGACCCTAGTGAAAACACAGGTGCGAGGGTCAGGCTGTGTGTGTGTGTGTGGGGGGGGGGGGGTTGTGGTGTGTGTGTGTGCGTGTGCGTGTGCGTGTGCGTGTGCATGTGCGTGTGAGCAGCAACACAAGTAACAACATAACCCCTGTTGCTGCTATTCCATGGCAACAGCATGCTCAACACAGTATAGCCCTGGGTGTGTTTTTGTAACTAGCCCCCTCTAGCTAATGGATGAAACATGTATGTCCAGTCTGCCCCTTCTGTTCACACTTACATAACAAATAGCTCTTATGGCTGTTGAAATACAGCAACACCTAGTGGTAGCAAACATAACCACACAGTTTGAGAGGTGCTCAGGGTAAGGATGACTGCTCGTTGAACATTGCGCTTAGTATTGATGTTGTCTTTCTGCTTTGTGCTCATATCCCTTTATGTGTGTGTGTGTGTGTGTGTGTGTGTGTGTGTTTGTTTGTTCACTACAAATTAAGTTATGGTAAGCCAGTGCTCATATGCGGATGCTCCCATCTCCTCTAATGAAGCTAATTAAGGCTCTATTTAGAGAGTGGGGAGCCCAGGAGACCAAGTGGAGTTCCTCACTTCATTAAAAATCAATTAACACACTCCACGTGCCAGTTCACTACACATCACTCACTGCACCAACCAGACACCCACAGTCCACCTCACAAAACTCTCTCTGTTACATGACTGTAACACGTCTGTCTGTCTGTCTGGCTGTGTGTCTGTATTTCTCTGCATCTCTCTCTCTTTGAGGAGATTGTGGGGCTGAGCTCATCTTGGCAATGGAATCGCCAGCGCTGCACTCCGGCTCTTACATAACTTCAGGATAAATCAGGACAGCCAGTCAGGGCCTAGCCCTCACCCACACAGCCAGCCAGTCAGAGGGCAGCCACACCCACACCCACACAGCCAGCCAGTCAGAGGGCAGCCACACCCACACCCACACAGCCAGCCAGTCAGAGGGCAGCCACACCCACACAGCCAGCCAGTCAGAGGGCAGCCACACCCACACCCACACAGCCAACCAGTCAGAGGGCAGCCACACCCACACAGCCAGCCAGTTAGAGGGCCTAGGAATCATTCATGCAGCTCTATACACCACACTTCTATCTGCAGCTCTCTATCTGCTATCTATCTGTTCTAAACGTTGCAGACTCATGTACAATAAGCTCCTGAAGCACAGGTGTTCCATATACAGTCGTAACTGCACTGTATTCACAATGTACCTGTCTGTGTTACTACCATGTAAATAGACCGTTTTAAAACCACTTGGTGTAAAGTATGACCATAGTGTTGGCGCCAACACCAAGTGAGAGGAGGCAGTAAGAAGGATCGTACTTAGAATGTGATAGTAAGCAAAACATGCTTCAGAGTTTGGTGATATCACTTCCTGTAGGCGTGTGTGTGACTGCTCAGCGAATCATTGCTCTGACAGCCAGAAGACAGGAGTAAGTGAGTGGTCGCCTCAGCAATAGCCAAACTGTCATGACTGGCTCCTTATTCCACCTGACAGGCCCAGTGGCTATGCACACACACTCTGAAACACACCCACACAAACACCCACACTTTGCAACACACTCTCTAACACACACACACACGCACACACACTCTGAAACATACTCACACAATCTGAAACACACTCTCTACCACAAACACATGCACACACATTCTGAAACACTCTCAAACACACACACACATATGAACACAGAAACACAGACAGTCGGATTATAATCTTTGTCGGTCCACACACCCCTCAAACCGTTATTATAAACTTTAGACTGGTCAGTTGATAAATCCCTTTTGAACATGTTCATCCTTTAAGTCCAATTAGAAGTTGTTCTTAAAGGATCTACAAAGAGACATTCTGAGATGTACAGCAGAACAAGGTTGTACATGGCACTAAATGAGAGGGGTGGAATACACACACACGTAAGCACACACACACAGAGTTTTGTTCTCTGTTTGTTTACTGGTTGTATTCAGTCTCTGTTTATTACCTTCATGTCCTGCAGCACAACTGACCAGTTCTCACTATAAATATACCGTTAGACACTGCTTCCATTGACTTCTTCACTGCAGTACTCAGTGTGTGTATATGTGTGTTTTCCTCCCCAATCCAGCCCAGTCCAGCCCGCTGCGCTGTGCTGCTCTGACCCAGTTTGGCGCTGGACAGGAACTGGGTCACCTCTAGAACCAACCCAGAGAGTACTAACTTCATAACACTCACAGTCCCAGTCCACACACAGCAGCTATCAAACATACACATTGAAACTTGAAACATATACACTCATTCACACACACACACACACACAAACACACACACACACAGATCCTGCTCAACATTTGTTGGTTGCGCTTTCGTTCATTAATGTGCTGTCTGTTCATTAATGTTGAGCCTGAAAGAGATGCTTGTGGTGGTTTTCTATGGGGTGGGGTATGGGCAATTTAGCAGCTAACTTTGTCAAGCTAGTGCTCTAAATTGATTATTCTCATTCACAATGGGTACGCAGAGCTTGTAGTTCGATTAGAGAAAATAATAGGTAGAAGATGATATGAATGGGGGTTTGAAGAGGGACAGTAAGTACAATCTGTCCTGTCTGTTCTGACTGCTAAGGGTTTTCAGTTCTCTAAGACGGCCTTGTATTACCCCTTATCAGTCTTAACCCCTACTCTACCTCCTCTCCACTCCCACATGAGTGGCTGACCAATCGTGAGGCAGAAAGAATGTTACAAAGACTGTTACAGTATACATTCTCCATAATCATACATGAACTCAGACATTCTTATCTTTAATCTTTACATTTCTGTCTGTCTTGCTGATTATGAGTCAGTCAGTACGTCTGTCCGTCCATCCGTCTGTCTAGTATAGTATCCTGGGTCGGGTGGGGTCAGGATCAAACTGACCTTATGTCAGCACATGGGCTTGGGCTCAGGGGTCACAGTCTTTAAGACCCCCAGTTGGACCCTCTCTGAATCAGGCTTTGAGGGGGGAGTGGGACGTCCCTCCCTGGGTAAAGAGGTACAAGCCGGTGTAGGCCGTCATTGTAAATAAGAATTTGTTCTTAACTGACTTGCCTAGTTAAATAAAGGTAAAATAAAATGAATAAATAAACAAACAAGACAGCCCCATACAGCTTAGACAGCAGACACAACTCATCTTTCTGCGCTAATCCCATTATGACACTGCACACACAGATCACATACACACACACACTTCATAAACACTGCTGATCAGACCAATTAGGTCCTAGACGTAAACCAATCAGACACACAAGAGATACTTATGGACACATTCAATAGCACACACACATTGAAACACCTGTCATCCTATTGCAGCTGCAACACAGAACAGTGTGTGTACATGTGTTTATGCGTGTTTGTCTCCACCGAAAATGAAAACGGATGTCGTAGGTAAGACATACTTTTGGACATTGCCTTTTACCCTAAATTATTACATTAATATCAGAAGGTTAGAACGTTAGAAGATTAACCCTTACAGTCATTTCTCTGTGTACTTTGCAGCTCGGAATGAATCCTTGGTCGTGTTCATAGGGCACATGTAAAAGGAATGTAACGAATGTTCCTTATTGGACAAATCCAGGTAGTCCCTCCCTGTTTCACTCCATTTGGTTCCTTATGAACATATCCCATTTTCCGGTCCATTTCTTTTTGTCGTTTTGGGCTATACTCAGAGTCACTAAAGTTCTACGTGTCATTTCAGTTTTCTATGTTTCAGGCTAAATCTGAAGACTTTTCATTCTTGTAGATTTGTGGAATATTACTATTTCATAAACTGAAAATAGGATGATTTCTTGTCTGTTTAGTCTGTTTGTAGCCATTTTACCTGATTTCTGGGAGAATAGTGCAGTTGCAGGTGCAGAGAGGTTATTAGGGAACTGCTGCTTTGGATTAGCCAGTCAGTTTGCAGCGCAGGGAAACAGCGTGTGAGGAAGGAAATAATGTAGGATTAGATTGTGCGTCTAATCTCCTTATAGTGAGTGTGCATTCTCAGCAGATATGTGCCATCTATCTATCTCGCTCTCTCTCTATCTATCTATTGTATCTCTCTAGCTATCTCTCTATCTGTCACTATCCTTCTCTGTCTCGAACTATGTGGCTACACTGGTTACTGTGGTCACTGGACGCTCCTAAATGTTTCTGTGTGCGGCGATTTCAGACCTACAGTACACAGTTCAGTCCTATAGTATACTACATGTACACTACAAGTGAATGAGTGAGTGAGTGAGTGAATAAATGAAGTCACTAACTGTAAGTCGCTCTGGATAAGAGCGTCTGCTAAATTACTAAAATGTAAAATGTAAGATACTTTGGTGATGTAACCCCACTACAATCCAGGGACCACATCTAAGGACCCCTGCTCATCCTCATGACACAATGTCTGTCACATGTCATTACCACACCATAAAACACTGCTAAAATGAACAGGATGCCACAACGTCCTGTTGACTGGAGAGGTTCCTTCTGATTGGGAGCACTGTTCCCCATCACTGGGTCACATGTGACAGAAACACACACACACACACACACACAACCACGCACACACCCTAATGAGCCCACCGACAGTTGGGGGAACGTTGAGTGGCCATTAATACTGGTACAGTACAGGCAAGTGTGTGTGACACAAGGAAACGGTTATGTAACCCAGGTGTGTGTGACACAAGGAAACGGTTATGTAACCCAGGTGTGTGTGACACAAGGAAACGGTTATGTAACCCAGGTGTGTGTGACACAAGGAAACGGTTATGTAACCCAGGTGTGTGTGACACAAGGAAACGGTTATGTAACCCAGGTGTGTTTGACACAAGGAAACGGTTATGTAACCCAGGTGTGTGTTTTCCCTTCCCACCTCTCTGTCCACAGCCCAAATCGAAGTTATACCGTGCAAAATCTGTGGAGACAAGTCATCAGGAATCCACTATGGAGTCATCACGTGTGAGGGCTGCAAAGTGAGTTCTCCACACAGCTCTGTTGTTCCCTCTGTCTGACTCTATCCCCATCATTCTCCAATGTCATTTCTGTTTCATATCTTCCTTTTATTCCATCAACTGCCTTCTACTCTCCATCAGCTCTTTTCTTTTCTATTATTTTATGATCTTTTCCTTATTTTCCAAATCATAGACTGACTGCTCCTGTGTTTGTGGTTGTCCTGTAGGGGTTCTTCAGACGAAGTCAGCAGAACAATGCTGCATACTCCTGCCCTCGCCAGAGGAACTGTCTGATCGACAGGACCAACCGAAACCGCTGCCAGCACTGCCGCTTACAGAAGTGTCTCGCACTCGGAATGTCCAGAGATGGTGAGACCGCTTACACACACACACACACACCTACGCACGCACACACACAAGTGTAGACACTTACTTACTTAAAAATGTCTAAAGCCCAGGTGAAGCTGAGAGAGAAAACAAACACAATGTGACTAATAAACAACCTCCTTCTCTCCCTCCCTCTCTCTGTGTGTAGCCGTGAAGTTTGGCCGCATGTCCAAGAAGCAGCGTGACAGCCTGTACGCCGAGGTACAGAAGCACCAGCAGCGGATCCTGAATGAGCGGCAGCAGCAGACGTGTGAGGCAGAGGCCCTTGCGCGTGTCTACTCGTCCAGCCTGACCAACGGCCTTAGCACCCTCAACCACGAGATCGGAGGCACATACGCCAACGGCCACGTCATCGAGCTCCCCAAGGGCCAGGTGAACAGTGGTGCCCCGGGTGGCTACTACCATGGTATGGACTCCACCCAGCCATCTCCGGACCAGTCGGGCCTGGACATGGCGGGCATGAAGCACATCAAGCAGGAGCCGGTGTACGACCTGACCCCCGTGTCTAACCTGTTCAACTACAGCGCCTACCAGGACAGTCAGCTGGCGCACAGCAATGTCAGCATGGGAGAGCTAGGTAACTAAGGGTTACGGTCAAGTTCATTCCAAGATATCGAATTTGGCCGTCAGTGCACCCTCAAAAACATTAGGTGCATAATGATGTCTCTGTGAGTGAGTGTTGCACAGTGCAGGAAGATACCAGGCCTTAATTGATGATTTGAATAGGAGGGTGTGTCAGTGTGATAAGCTGTGTGCGGGACAGGAGATCAGACAGGCTTAGAGAGAGAGAGAGAGAGAGAGAGAGAGAGAGAGAGAGAGAGAGAGAGAGAGAGAGAGGGCTGTGATAGAGAGTTAGAAATAGAGAGCAAATGGAGAGAGAGAGACAGGGAGAGAGAGAGAGAGACAGGGAGGGAGAGCGAGAGAGAAAGCGAGAGAGCGAGAGATGCCAGGACCACAAATACAAATTCCATCTAGACACCGTTGCCCTAGAGCACACAAAAAACTATACATACCTCGGCCTAAACATCAGCGCCACAGGTAACTTCCACAAAGCTGTGAATTATCTGAGAGACAAGGCAAGAAGGGCCTTCTATGCCATCAAAAGGAACATAACATTTGACATACCAATTAGGATCTGTCTAAAAATACTTGAATCAGTTATAGAACCCATTGCCCTTTATGGTTGTGAGGTCTGGGGTCCACTCACCAACCAAGAATTCACAAAATGGGACAAACACCAAATTGAGACTCTGCATGCAGAATTCTGCAAAAATATCCTCAGTGTACTACGAAAAACACAAAATAATGCATGCAGAGCAGAATTAGGGCCGATACCCGCTAATTATCAAAATCCAGAAAAGAGCCGTTAAATTCTATAACCACTTAAAAGGAAGCGATTTCCAAACCTTCCATAACAAAGCCATCACCTACAGAGAGATGAACTTGGAGAAGAGTGGTCCTGGGGCTCTGTTCACAAACACAAACAGACCCCACAGAGCCCCAGGACAACAACAACAACACAATTAGACCCAACCAAATCATGAGAAAACAAAAAGAGAATGACTTGACACATTGGAAATAATTAACAAAAGACAGAGCAAACTAGAATGCTATTTGGCTCTAAACAGAGAGTACACAGTGGCAGAATACCTGACCACTGTGACTGACCCAAAGTATTGAGAAAGGCCGCTGTAGGCAGACCTGGCTCTCAAGAGAAGACAGGCTATGTGCACACTGCCCACAAAATGAGGTAGAAACTGAGCTGCACTTCCTAACCTTCTGCCAAATGTTTGACCATATTAGAGACACATATTTCCCTCAGATTACAGAGATCCACAAAGAATTTGAAAACAAACTCAATTTTGATAAACTCCCTTATCTACTGGGTGAAAAACCACAGTGTGCTATCACAGCAGCAAGATTTGTGACCTGTTGCCACAAGAAAAGGGCAAACAGTGAAGAACAAACACCATTGTAAATACAACCTATATTTATGTTTATTTATTTTCCCATTTGTACTTTAACTATTTGCACATTGTTACAATACTGTATATATACATAATATGACATTTGAAATATCTTTATTCTTTTGGAACTTCTGAGTGTAATGCTTACTGTTAATATTTATTGTTTATTTCACTTTCGTTTACTATCTACTTCACTTGCTTTGGCAATGTTAACATACGTTTCCCATGCCAATAAAGCCCTTAAATTGAAATTGAATTGAAAATTGAGAGAAAGAGAGAGAGAGGTGTCCATGCGTCATATTTAAGCTCAGCCCATCAATGTAAGAAACACCCATTGAGATTGCAGATTAAATCTTGAGTTTGGCCTGCCTTACAATGTCAATTTAGCTGAACACAGTTTTACTAGTGAACTCTATATTTGAGTTGTCACACATAAACTCGGATGGGGGTATACAATACATTCCCTGATTCTTGTAAAGATCGGTTCTGCGGTTTTCTATACCCAGTTTCAATTAGTGCCAACATTCAGACAAAAAAAATAAACATTTCTACAATACAGATTAAAATGATGCTACATAAAAAGCAACCTCGTCCCAAGGCCTGGTGGACGAGACCACATACAAAGTTGCGTGAGGACTGAAACTTTCGGAGGTTGAATAAAGCTAAATAAAGGTGCAATAGTTTTCATTAAACGTATGATCAGTTCATCGGTTTCACGCTCCCATAGACAATGAATGATAAGCTACCATTTCGCTTGAATTTTGATCAAAGTGTGTGTCTGACTCTGTCTCTTCTCTGTCCTCTCCCCCTCTCCCTCCATAGATCGTATCGCCCAGAACATTATAAAGTCTCACCTGGAGACCTGTCAATACACAGCAGATGAGCTCCAGCAGCTGGCCTGGCAAACACACTCCTACGATGACATCAAGATGTTCCAGAGCAAAGTGAGTGTGTGACCAGTGTGTGTGTGTATGTCTTCCTTGTGACCAGTGTGTGTATGTGTGTCTGTTTGTGTGTGTGTGTGTTCCTTGTGACCAGTGTGTGTATGCGTGTCTGTTTGTGTGTGTGTGTGTGTGTGTGTGTGTGTTCCTTGTGACCAGCCGACATTGCACTGCTCATTTACCTACAACCTCTGAGCACCCCCCCTCCTCCTCCTACTCTGTTGTCATCCAATGTCTGTTTCCTCCCCTATACACCCCCCAACTCCGTTGTCATCCAATGTCTGTTTCCTCCCCTATACACCCCCCAACTCCATTGTCATCCAATGTCTGTTTCCTCCCCTATACACCCCCCAACTCCATTGTCATCCAATGTCTGTTTCCTCCCCTATACACCCCCCAACTCAGTTGTCATCCAATGTCTGTTCCCTCCCCTATACACCCCCCCCAACTCCATTGTCATCCAATGTCTCTTTTCTCCCCTATACACCCCCCACCCCCCCCCCAACGCCAGTATAAACAACGTTTTTTTTAAATGTATGCACTCACTACTGTAAGTCGCTTTGGATAAGAGTATCTGCAGATAGCATTACTGGGTGATCTGAAAAGTCATAGTCAATCGATCAATAATATAATAATACTTTTAGCAAAAATGTTTATTTTCAATTTACAATCTGTAGAAACAATGAGAATAGAAAGGTTCAGAACTTTTGTAAAACATCACAGTACAGTTAAAAAATATATGGCAAATAGAAATCCAATATGGATGGTGTTAAGAGATAGATGGGTGGTGTTGAATGGAGTTGAAGGATGGGACTAATAACAAATAACAACAACTAATAACAACAAGATAACTAATAAAGTAAGCATACTGTGTCCATAATAAGTCTATAGGTTATAGGTTGAGAGCTTTTGTGAAAGAGCACAGTTAGAAAGATATGGCATGAAGACGCAAACCGGATGGACATCATGAAAATGATCGAAGAGGTTGAGGGTAGAGGAAGTTCAGGAGTAAAAACAAACAAAATAGAATTATTGTAATTGACTGTGTCCATAAAATTTATATAGTATGTATAAGCTGGAAGTAGAGGCCTAAGCATTGTTGTTCACTAGTTTACTCCAATTAGGGAAGGGGTGGTGGGGTTGGAAAGTAATAAAGGGAAATATATGTTTTTAAAGGATATGTATATATGTATGTATGTACAGTGGGGAAAAAAAGTATTTAGTCAGCCACCAATTGTGCAAGTTCTCCCACTTAAAAAGATGAGAGAGGCCTGTAATTTTCATCATAGGTACACGTCAACTATGACAGACAAATTGAGGGAAAAAATCCAGAAAATCACATTGTAGGATTTTTAATGAATTTATTTTCAAATGATGGTGGAAAATAAGTATTTGGTCACCTACAAACAAGCAAGATTTCTGGCTCTCACAGACCTGTAACTTCTTCTTTAAGAGACTCCTCTGTCCTCCACTCGTTACCTGTATTAATGGCACCTGTTTGAACTTGTTATCAGTATAAAAGACACCTGTTACCATCAGTAACACACTACGCCGCCAGGGACTCAAATCCTGCAGTGCCAGACGTGTCCCCCTGCTTAAGCCTGTACATGTCCAGGCCCGTCTGAAGTTTGCTAGAGTGCATTTGGATGATCCAGAAGAGGATTGGGAGAATGTCATATGGTCAGATGAAACCAAAATATAACTTTTTGGTAAAAACTCAACTCGTCGTGTTTGGAGGACAAAGAATGCTGAGTTGCGTCCAAAGAACACCATACCTACTGTGAAGCATGGGGGTGGAAACATCATGCTTTGGGGCTGTTTTTCTGCAAAGGGACCAGGACGACTGATCGTGTAAAGGAAAGAATGAATGGGGCCATGTATCGTGAGATTTTGAGTGAAAACCTCCTTCCATCAGCAAGGGCATTGAAGATGAAACGTGGCTGGGTCTTTCAGCATGACAATGATCCCAAACACACCGCCCGGGCAACGAAAGAGTGGCTTCGTAAGAACCATTTCAAGGTCCTGGAGTGGCCTAGCCAGTCTCCAGATCTCAACCCCATAGAAAATCTTTGGAGGGAGTTGAAAGTCTGTGTTGCCCAGCGACAGCCCCAAAACATCACTGCTCTAGAGGAGATCTGCATGGAGTAATGGGCCAAAATACCAGCAACAGTGTGTGAAAACCTTGTGACGACATACAGAAAACGTTTGACCTGTGTCATTGCCAACAAAGGGTATATAAGAAAGTATTGAGAAACTTTTGTTATTGACCAAATGCTTATTTTCCACCAAAATCTGCAAATAAATTCATAAAAAATCCTACAATGTGATTTTCTGGAAAATAAATTCTCATTTTGTCTGTCATAGTTGACGTGTACCTATGATGAAAATTACAGGCCTCTCTCATCTTTTTAAGTGGGAGAACTTGCACAATTGGTGGCTGACTAAATACTTTTTTTCCCCACTGTATATATGTATGTCTGTATATATGTGTGTGTATGTATGTGTGTATATATATATATAAAAATATATATATATATATATATATATATATATATATATATATATATATATATATATATATTTGCGAGAGAAAAAAACAAATGGGGGATTGGAATTGATGCAGACAATTACATTGATGGAAGTTACAGTCTATCTACAATATTAAAGCTGATCTACACTCTCTCCTCCCCTATACACACTATTTAAATGTATCTTTCCTCCCCTATACACCCTATTTAAATGTCTCTTTCCTCCCCTATACTCTCTATTTAAATGTCTCTTTCCTCCCCTATACACACTATTTAAATGTCTCTTTCCTCCCCTATACACACTTTTTAAATGTCTCTTTCCTCCCCTATACACACTATTTAAATGTCTCTTTCCTCCCCTACACTCGCTATTTAAATGTCTCTTTCCTCCCCTATACACACTATTTAAATGTCTCTTTCCTCCCCTATACACACTTTTTAAATGTCTCTTTCCTCCCCTATACACACTATTTAAATGTCTCTTTCCTCCCTTACACTCGCTATTTAAATGTCTCTTTCCTCCCCTACACTCGCTATTTAAATGTCTCTTTCCTCCCCTATACACCCTATTTAAATGTCTCTTTCCTCCACAATACACACTATTTAAAATGCCTCTTTCCTCCCCTATACACCCTATTTAAATGTCTCTTTCCTCCCCTATACTCGCTATTTAAATGTCTCTTTCCTCCCCTATACACCCTATTTAAATGTCTCTTTCCTCCACAATACACACTATTTAAAATGCCTCTTTCCTCCCCTATACACCCTATTTAAATGTCTCTTTCCTCCCCTATACTCGCTATTTAAATGTCTCTTTCCTCTCCTATACTCGCTATTTAAATGTCTATTTTCTCCCCTATACTCGCTATTTAAATGTCTCTTTCCTCCCCTATACACCCTATTTAAATGTCTCTTTCCTCCACAATACACACTATTTAAATGTCTCTTTCCTCCCCTATACACCCTATTTAAATGTCTCTTTCCTCCCCTATACACACTATTTAAATGTCTCTTTCCTCTCCTATACTCGCTATTTAAATGTCTCTTTCCTCCCCTATACACCCTATTTAAATGTCTCTTTCCTCCACAATACACACTACTTAAAATGTCTCTTTCCTCCCCTATACACACTATTTAAATGTCTCTTTCCTCCCCTATACACACTATTTAAATGTCTCTTTCCTCCCCTATACACCCTATTTAAATGTCTCTTTCCTCCCCTATACTCGCTATTTAAATGTCTCTTTCCTCTCCTATACTCGCTATTTAAATGTCTATTTTCTCCCCTATACTCGCTATTTAAATGTCTCTTTCCTCCCCTATACACCCTATTTAAATGTCTCTTTCCTCCACAATACACACTATTTAAAATGCCTCTTTCCTCCCCTATGCACACTATTTAAATGTCTCTTTCCTCCCCTATACACACTATTTAAATGTCTCTTTCCTCCCCTATACACACTATGTAAATGTCTCTTTCCTCCCCTATACACACTATTTAAATGTCTCTTTCCTCCCCTATACACACTATTTAAATGTCTCTTTCCTCCCCTATACACACTATTTAAATGTCTCTTTCCTCCCCTATACTCTCTATTTAAATGTCTCTTTCCTCCCCTATACACACTATTTAAATGTCTCTTTCCTCCCCTATACACACTTTTTAAATGTCTCTTTCCTCCCCTATACACACTATTTAAATGTCTCTTTCCTCCCCTACACTCGCTATTTACAGTGGGAAAAAAAAGTATTTAGTCAGCCACCAATTGTGCAAGTTCTCCCACGTAAAAAGATGAGAGAGGCCTGTAATTTTCATCATAGGTACACGTCAACTATGACAGACAAAATGAGAATTTTTTTTCCAGAAAATCATATTGTAGGATTTTTAATGAATTTATTTGCAAATTATGGTGGAAAATAAGTATTTGGTTAATAACAAAAGTTTCTCAATACTTTGTTATATACCCTTTGTTGGCAATGACACAGGTCAAACGTTTTCTGTAAGTCTTCACAAGGTTTTCACACACTGTTGCTGGTATTTTGGCCCATTCCTCCATGCAGATCTCCTCTAGAGCAGTGATGTTTTGGGGCTGTCGCTGGGCAACACGGACTTTCAACTCCCTCCAAAGATTTTCTATGGGGTTGAGATCTGGAGACTGGCTAGGCCACTCCAGGACCTTGAAATGCTTCTTACGAAGCCACTCCTTCGTTGCCCGGGCGGTGTGTTTGGGATCATTGTCATGCTGAAAGACCCAGCCACGTTTCATCTTCAATGCCCTTGCTGATGGAAGGAGGTTTTCACTCAAAATCTCACGATACATGGCCCCATTCATTCTTTCCTTTACACGGATCAGTCGTCCTGGTCCCTTTGCAGAAAAACAGCCCCAAAGCATGATGTTTCCACCCCCATGCTTCACAGTAGGTATGGTGTTCTTTGGATGCAACTCAGCATTCTTTGTCCTCCAAACACGACGAGTTGAGTTTTTACCAAAAAGTCCTATTTTGGTTTCATCTGACCATATGACATTCTCCCAATACTCTTCTGGATCATCCAAATGCACTCTAGCAAACTTCAGACGGGCCTAGACATGTACTGGCTTAAGCAGGGGGACACGTCTCGCACTGCAGGATTTGATTCCCTGGCGGCGTAGTGTGTTACTGATGGTAGGCTTTGTTACTTTGGTCCCAGCTCTCTGCAGGTCATTCACTAGGTCCCCCCGTGTGGTTCTGGGATTTTTGCTCACCGTTCTTGTGATCATTTTGACCCCACTGGGTGAGATCTTGCGTGGAGCCCCAGATCGAGGGAGATTATCAGTGGTCGTGTATGTCTTCCATTTCCTAATAATTGCTCCCACAGTTGATTTCTTCAAACCAAGCTGCTTACCTATTGCAGATTCAGTCTTCCCAGCCTGGTGCAGGTCTACAATTTTGTTTCTGGTGTCCTTTGACAGCTCTTTGGTCTTGGCCATAGTGGAGTTTGGAGTGTGACTGTTTGAGGTTGTGGACAGGTGTCTTTTATACTGATAACAAGTTCAAACAGGTGCCATTAATACAGGTAACGAGTGGAGGACAGAGGAGCCTCTTAAAGAAGAAGTTACAGGTCTGTGAGAGCCAGAAATCTTGCTTGTTTGTAGGTGACCAAATACTTATTTTCCACCATAATTTGCAAATAAATTCATTAAAAATCCTACAATGTGATTTTCTGGATTTTTTTTCCTCCATTTGTCTGTCATAGTTGACGTGTACCTATGATGAAAATTACAGGCCTCTCTCATATTTTTAAGTGGGAGAACTTGCACAATTGGTGGCTGACTAAATACTTTTTTTCCCCACTGTAAATGTCTCTTTCCTCACCTATACACACTATTTAAATGTCTCTTTCCTCCCCTATACACACTTTTTAAATGTCTCTTTCCTCCCCTATACACACTATTTAAAATGCCTCTTTCCTCCCCTATACACCCTATTTAAATGTCTCTTTCCTCCCCTATACTCGCTATTTAAATGTCTCTTTCCTCCCCTATACACCCTATTTAAATGTCTCTTTCCTCCACAATACACACTATTTAAAATGCCTCTTTCCTCCCCTATACACCCTATTTAAATGTCTCTTTCCTCCCCTATACTCTCTATTTAAATGTATATTTCCTCCCCTATACACACTATTTAAATGTCTCTTTCCTCCCCTATACACACTATTTAAATGTCTCTTTCCTCCCCTATACACACTTTTTAAATGTCTCTTTCCTCCCCTATACACACTATTTAAATGTCCCTTTCCTCCCCTATACACACTATTTAAATGTCTCTTTCCTCCCCTATACACACTATTTAAATGTCTCTTTCCTCCCCTATACACCCTATTTAAATGTCTCTTTCCTCCACAATACACACTATTTAAATGTCTCTTTCCTCCCCTATACACCCTATTTAAATGTCTCTTTCCTCCCCTATACACACTATTTAAATGTATATTTCCTCCCCTATACACACTATTTAAATGTCTCTTTCCTCCCCTATACACACTATTTAAATGTATATTTCCTCCCCTATACACACTATTTAAATGTCTCTTTCCTCCCCTATACACACTATTTAAATGTATATTTCCTCCCCTATACTCACTATTTAAATGTCTCTTTCCTCCCCTATACACACTATTTAAATGTCTCTTTCCTCTCCTATACTCGCTATTTAAATGTCTCTTTCCTCCCCTATACACCCTATTTAAATGTCTCTTTCCTCCACAATACACACTATTTAAATGTCTCTTTCCTCCCCTATACACCCTATTTAAATGTCTCTTTCCTCCCCTATACACACTATTTAAATGTCTCTTTCCTCTCCTATACTCGCTATTTAAATGTCTCTTTCCTCCCCTATACACCCTATTTAAATGTCTCTTTCCTCCACAATACACACTACTTAAAATGTCTCTTTCCTCCCCTATACACACTATTTAAATGTCTCTTTCCTCCCCTATTCACACTATTTAAATGTCTCTTTCCTCCCCTATACACCCTATTTAAATGTCTCTTTCCTCCCCTATACTCGCTATTTAAATGTCTCTTTCCTCTCCTATACTCGCTATTTAAATGTCTATTTTCTCCCCTATACTCGCTATTTAAATGTCTCTTTCCTCCCCTATACACCCTATTTAAATGTCTCTTTCCTCCACAATACACACTATTTAAAATGCCTCTTTCCTCCCCTATACACCCTATTTAAATGTCTCTTTCCTCCCCTATACTCGCTATTTAAATGTCTCTTTCCTCCCCTATGCACACTATTTAAATGTCTCTTTCCTCCCCTATACACACTATTTAAATGTCTCTTTCCTCCCCTATACACACTATGTAAATGTCTCTTTCCTCCCCTATACACACTATTTAAATGTCTCTTTCCTCCCCTATACACACTATTTAAATGTCTCTTTCCTCCCCTATACACACTATTTAAATGTCTCTTTCCTCCCCTATACACACTATTTAAATGTCTCTTTCCTCCCCTATACACACTATTTAAATGTCTCTTTCCTCCCCTATACACCCTATTTAAATGTTTCTTTCCTCCACAATACACACTATTTAAATGTCTCTTTCCTCCCCATATACTCGCTATTTAAATGTCTCTTTCCTCCCCTATACACCCTATTTAAATGTCTCTTTCCTCCACAATACACCCTATTTAAATGTCTCTTTCCTCCCCTATACTCACTATTTAAATGTCTCTTTCCTCCCCTATACTCGCTATTTAAATGTCTCTTTCCTCCCCTATACTCACTATTTAAATATATTTTTTTTTACTGACCTCATTCTTTCCCAAATTCTGTCTGTAGTGTCTCACCTCCCACTTTTTCTCTCTTTTCTTTCTCAAGTTCTCTTTCTCTGCTTGTTTCTCCTTCTGTTTCTATCGCTCTCTCTCGCTCCTCCTCTCCGCCTGTGTGTGTGTGTCTATGTTACAGAGCTGTAGTTCCTTTATCACCGTGACCTCTCTCATTCCTCTGTGTCTAATGGATTATGGGTCATTACAGAAGAAACCTTTGAAATATTCTCCATGGAGATTCATTTTACAGCCAGAAATTATAGAACACACAAAGACAATTTGCTGATATTGTACTTTGGATATTCCGCGTAGCGATGGAGCTGACTATTTTATAAGTATTCATTTCATAAAGATTCCTGTCTTTGTATTGTACTTCATTGAACAGCACAAAGGGTTGACCCAAATACAACTCCTCTGCATGTCTCATTGTGTGCACAGTCCTGTGGCATGAACATGTGGGTTAAATACGGTTTGTATTTGCACTTGCAGAAGTCCTATAGTAGTGTTTGAAAATTGTGTTCATGATATGTACACAGCTGTCATAACACGTGTTGATTTGTCTGTGAAGATGTCCCTAACAAAGTGTGTTTCTTTGCAGACGCGAGACGTGCTGTGGCAGCAGTGTGCCATCCAGATCACCCATTCCATCCAGTATGTGGTGGAGTTTGCCAAGCGCATCTCAGGCTTCATGGAGCTTTGCCAGAACGACCAGATCCTCCTGCTCAAGTCAGGTGAGCTCACCCTGCTTTCCCATTGGACACAAGTCTCCTGGTTGAAACAATGTTGTTTCTCCTTTCAACAAAAATTAACCAAATAATTGTGACACAAGACGACATTGTATCAACGTTGGAAAAGGTATTGGATTTGCAAAAAGACTTCAACATCTTTCTCTGTCTCTCTCTAGGTTGTCTGGAGGTGGTCCTGGTTAGAATGTGTCGGGCGTTTAACCCTCTCAACAACACAGTGCTGTTTGAGGGGAAGTACGGGGGCATGCAGATGTTCAAAGCACTAGGTAAGGCACTACCGCTAGCGCTACTGTACCGCCTCCATCTACGGCCATCTAAGTAGCATGATGTACTACAGTACCCATAATGTTCTGGACAAGATATTCGGTAGTCTCTGACCTGACCTTGAACTCTGATTTGTTACATATTACATTCATAGAAGTAACAGAGTTGCATACATAACTGTAGTAGGATGGGAAAACACTTCAGTGAATACTGCAGTAGGTATCGGGTTTGTATGGGGCGGCAGGTAGCTTAGTGGTTAAGATCGCTGGTTCTAATCCCCGAGCAGACTAGGTGAAAAATCTGTCGATGTGCCCTTGAGCAAGGCACTTAAACCTAATTGCTCCTGTAAGTCGCTCTGGATAAGAGCGTCTGCTAAATGACTAAAATTTAAAATGTAATGTATGAGTGTGTCTCTGTTTGCTGAATTCTTATTTTACATGAGACTACAGTATAACTATGAGACTACAGCATAACTATGAGACTACAGTATAACTATGAGACTGCAGCATAACTATGAGACTACAGTATAACTATGAGACTGCAGCATAACTATGAGACTACAGCATAACTATGAGACTACAGCATAACTATGAGACTACAGCATAACTATGAGACTACAGTATAACTATGAGACTACAGTATAACTATGAGACTGCAGCATAACTATGAGACTACAGCATAACTATGAGACTGCAGCATAACTATGAGACTGCAGCATAACTATGAGACTACAGCATAACTATGAGACTACAGCATAACTATGAGACTACAGTATAACTATGAGACTGCAGCATAACTATGAGACTACAGCATAACTATGAGACTACAGCATAACTATGAGACTACAGCATAACTATGAGACTGCAGCATAACTATGAGACTGCAGCATAACTATGAGACTACAGCATAACTATGAGACTACAGTATAACTATGAGACTGCAGCATAACTATGAGACTACAGCATAACTATGAGACTACAGCATAACTATGAGACTACAGTATAACTATGAGACTGCAGCATAACTATGAGACTACAGTATAACTATGAGACTACAGTATAACTATGAGACTACAGCATAACTATGAGACTGCAGCATAACTATGAGACTACAGTATAACTATGAGACTGCAGCATAACTATGAGACTACAGTATAACTATGAGACTGCAGCATAACTATGAGACTACAGTATAACTATGCGACTACAGTATAACTATGAGACTACAGCATATTGTTATATTATTCTATATTGACCGCCTCGTTATTAACTCTCACAGGCTGTGACGACCTGGTCAGCGCTGTGTTTGACTTTGCCAAGAGTCTGTGCTCTCTGCAGCTCACTGAGGAGGAGATCGCTCTGTTCTCCGCAGCAGTGCTCATCTCCACAGGTTAGTACAGACTACTCACAGCCACAGTTACCTTCTGCTGCCACCTACAGGCAGACCTTACTGAGGCATTGCCTGGCTGGAGAATGCTGCTGTCAACACAGTGATTGACATGTGCTGCACTACTGAAGCGGTCTTTATTATAAGTAAGACAGACACAGTGATTGACATGTGATGTTGGTGTGTGTTCCTCTATCAGACCGGCCGTGGCTGATGGAGCCCAGGAAGGTGCAAAAGCTCCAGGAGAAGATCTACTTTGCACTTCAGCACATCATGCAGAAGAACCACATGGACGAGGACGCGCTGGCTAAGGTAGGGCACATCACCGTGCCTCATACAGTACAGCTGTTGTGGGGCTTAACATTGGTATCGAAGGGCGTCACACCTAGGCACTGTTCGAGAGCAGTGTATTTCAAACAACCTTTTCACTTTAGTTGCAATATTCATGTACAGACTGAGACTTTAGGTGGGTTATGATCTGGACTTCTTCACCCATCACCCCTGACCCCACTGTGTCCTCTGTAGCTGATTGGTCGGATACCCACGCTGTCGGCCGTGTGTACTCTCCACACCGAGGAGCTGCAGGCCTTCCAGCAGCTTCACCCCGAGACGGTGAACGTGCTCTTCCCCCCGCTCTACAAGGAGCTGTTCAACCCCGACCCCAATGCAGCGATCACCATGCCCAAGTGACTTTCTACGGTCCAACCTCAGAGAGTGGACCACAACGTAACCGCGGACGCATCATTACGGCAACGGCAAAGCCCGGACCACAGGCCCGGACCATCCAGACACTTACAGCCGCAAACACTAGGAATGTCCAGCACTTATCCGACCCGATTCACCGATACAGTCTAAAGAATGTATATAACGCACCCATGACCAAGGGGCTCTTCAGAACTGACCAGAAATGTACAGACTTTAACTAGCTCATTTAAGCTGTCTTTTAACTGGGTAAGTAAATGTGTTTATCTTAGATTTTCCTTTTTTTTAATGATATTGTGATATTGAAGATGGGGGAGGGATTCATGTGGATTCTGAAAATATATTGTAGATATTCTTTAGTGGAGAATGAATTCCAGTATTACATCTTCTGTTAATATTTTAGTCCTAATTTAAAAGTGAAGCAGCCCTATGTGGCTGATACCTTGTCTATGTTACTTTTATTTGATAGTTTCATGTGTACAGAATTTGGAAAGTTGAAAAGAGCCTTGTTAAAGAATATTGGGGTAAACCTGGGAGGTCATTTTGGTATGTCGAGAAAGCCTTGTCTGGGCTCTGTTGATATGTGAAGAGGGTATTGCATCCTTCAGTTCGGAACTATCAAACTGTAAAAGAAGGATTGAAACAATTATGGCTACTTTTCAAGGTGAAGATATGTACATAAATATTATATTTTGCGTGCAAAAAATATTTTGGCAGATTGCCATCCTGTCAATCATTTTTTTGTCGCTGCAATAACTCCATCCATCGAAGTTGGACTGCTATTGAACAATCAGATCAAATTAGAGATTGTAGTAGAAGGACCTCCCCCCCAGCCCCCCAGCCCCCCTAAACCCACCACCACCACCTCTCACCACACCACCCACCTAGCTAAAACTACTGTGTTGGTCTTGGTGTCTTTTCAAAGGGCATACAGTACCTAGTCAGTGAATAAGAACCCAAGTCACTGCATGAACCTCTTCCTCTCATCCCCCCCAGTCACATTTTGCACAATCTACACCCATGCTAATCACTGGGCTGCTTAAATGAAGAATTCTCTCTCAAGTTTCACACTGCTTTATCCTTATTCTTGCATTTCTCTCCTCAGCCACATCCTTCTAGAACGGTCAAGCACAGGGGGTAGTCATGATTAGCTAAAGTGGATACGCCAGTATGTCCATTTTACTGACAATATTCAGACATTCCATCTTTCAGATTAAAATGGACACTTGAAACCTATTCCACGTTACAGAGTGCTCTCTGGGACTTGAGATCTTGCACTGCTTATTATATCCAAAAAAAACTGGGTAATAGATATTTTTCACTGAAACGTTTGCAACTTAAATTTGCAATACATTGTACAATCTTAATAGTAAACTATGATAGACAATCACTTCCATTTAAAAGTTAATGTTGAAGATCTTCGAGGATTTCCTTAGACATTATAATGGACACGTTTCCGTGTTTCGCACAGGGGCCAAATCGCTCTGAACCTTTAGTGGAGACTAGATGCTAGCCAGTGCCAGTGTACAGAACAGCATGACCTGTAACATTTTCCTTGACTTCTTTTTATCCCTTTCCCATATGCAGTGAACACTATCATACTCCATATGAGCTTCTCCTAGTCATAGAGTCTCCCCCTCCCCCGTGCCCCATACCATATCCTGCCCACCCCTCCACCCAAAAAGGAGTGCGAGGTTAGAGGTCAGTGGCTTGTTAAAGACAATCACTTGTGTCTCGATGCACTACACAGCATCTCTCTCAGGGAGCAACTCTTTTTCTGTCTTTGCATAAAAAGAGAGTTTGAATATTTTTGAAAAATGTAAGCGTTTTTTGGATATATAAATATGGTGGTGGCGCCCGGCGAAGGAACCTACCCAGAAAAGGCTTTTGGGGGGAGGGGGGGGGGGGGGGGTCTGTGTATGTCTGCGTGTGAATGGATCTGTGTGTGGGGATAAATTCACTGTCCAGATGCATTTTGAGTCCATATAATGGGGAGAGCCTATTCTACAAAAGTCCCAGAAAATCATGTTCCTAATGTCACGATGCACTGCTTGTTTTACAATGAAGGAAGAGCATAACTAAGCTGGCGTCCACCCATTCCATGCCTATAGGACAGTGTATTCAACCCAACTCTGTTTTTATTTTCCCCTGCAGGACTGTGAATCAGGGGTTTGGGGTGGGGTTGGTAATCTGATTGACAAATCAACACTAAGGTACTGTAGCAATAATAACTGGAAAGCATTTACTACGGTCATGTTTGCATTGTAAAATTATTTTTATTTTATTACTATTATTATTGTTGTTGTTGTTATTGCTATTTTTACTCCTATATTACTATTAGTCTATTGTCGTTCTGTTATCTTTGCATGCTGTTTCATGGCAATGAAACGTTGGGGCTTTTGTTTTTTCTCATGCGATGCTGTGGGTCAGGGGTGGGTTGGGGGGGTATTTTTAATTCTGAATGTTATGGAGTATTGTGTTCAGTGTGAAGGACTGAATGCATCATGCACCTTTTACTCCATCAACAGAGATACCACAGAGCGCAGGCAAAAGGTGGTCCTTACCCTAACGAGACCATGAAGTGCGCTGACATTTTATACACTTAGTCAAAAACATTTAATATACTTAGTCAAATACACTCCACTCTGACTTCTCCCTCCTTGGAGAACCTGTGTGTGTGTGTGTGTGTGTGTGTGTGTGTGTGAGTGTATGTTTGTGTAAGAGTGATCGAGACAGAGTCTGAAAGAGAGTGAATGAACAAGAGAGCAGGAGAAATTGAGGTTCTTTACTCTATTGATGCTTTGTAAACTTTCTTAATGCATTACACATCCGTGCAACTGGAGTAGTGTTAAACATGTTTTATTTATTGATTAGAATGTCTTTGTGTCCCATGATGAGAAAGTAAAGTAAGTAAGTGCAGCATCTGTGACCAAAACCCTTAAAAAGGTACTTGGGGTACAAACACTTTTTCTTTTTAATGACTAACAAAAACAAAAAAAGAAAAAAAAAATTCAAGTGCCATAGTTAGAGAGGAGGAGCTGGATTGGCTAAATGGGTAATAGTTGCTTTACTGTGTGAGTTTACTTGAGAACCAATCAAAAAGGGGAATTTTGAGGCAAGTGTGTATTTGATTACATTTAATTGTTTGTATGTTTGCTTTTTTCACTTGGTGAGTCGGATCGAACTTCGGAACTTTGACCCAGCTTTATGTCCCCAAAGCTCCCATGTAGACCTGTGTGTGTGTATGTATGTATGTATGTGTGTGTGTGTGTGTGCCATAAATGAAGAGCTTTGATGATCCAGTTGTGTTGAAGTTCTGAGTTGTCCTGAGCCATCTCAGTGTCTCCTCCTTCGAGATGTAAATAATGAGGTCAAGGTCTGAAGTGATTTTTGTTAAATTCTCTATTTTATCGCTTTTGTAGACATTTCTTTGTGGGAAGAAAAATAAAGGACATTTTATGGATGCATTTCTGTCTCATTCTTGTGTGAATTCCAACCACCAATAGATCAGATTTTGTTATTCTTGTATTAGCATTTTCATTCTGAATGTAAGCCATAACATAAGCCATGCTTCAGTCCAGCTGTGTCAATGCTTAATTTAAAGTTTATTTTTAATGTAATCACTTTTAACATAAGCAGCATAACAATATATTTGAGCATTGCTCCCAAAAAATTATTTTATGAAATGTTTTGCAGAAAAACTAATCCCAGATTGTAGTTTTGACTCTGACAAATAAATTGCATTTGTTTTAAATCAAGTTTTGTTTTAATTTCCAAAATAATAACATACTTGAGTCCAGCCCGAGGAATATGGTCTGTGACTGAAGATGGTTTCCTTTCAAGGGTTTCAATATGTCACTTAAATACAGCTTTTCCTTGCTATGTCTGTTTGTCACTGCAGTTCAGTTTTTAGCTGTGAATGTGTACAAGATTAAATAAACCAAACATAGTTTGGTAAGCCTATTATGTCAAGAGTCTAACACTTGAAATACCCTGATAGTCTGGGGCCTTAACAAAAAATAAACGTTACGAAGCGGATACAAGCATGACATTTGGTACAAACATTCCTCAGGTGATATGAACACATCCCAGAAGGGGTGCCCATTTCAGACTTACCAGGAAAGTGAGTTATTGCAAAAATTCTAAATGGCTTCCATAATAGCCGGTATTTGACCATAAAAACTGTTATGCACAGATAAAAGCATGACATTTGGTACAAACATTCCTCAGATGATATGAAAAGATCCTAAATGGGGTGCTCATTTCAAAATTAACCAGGAAGCGGAGTGCTATATATGAACATGAAATTCATTCAAACGGAACAGAGAACAAACAAATGATATCTTGTTTTATGGAAACACCTTCCTAGGATGCCCTCTACATCATGTCTAATGATACATAACATTACAATAAGGCACTGTGTTTGATTGATTAATAATAAGGCACTGTCCCCTGTAGCTCAGTTGGTAGAGCATGGCGCTTGCAACGCCAGGGTTGTGGGTTCGTTTCCCACGGGGGGCCAGTATGAAAATGTATGCACTCACTAACTGTAAGTCGCTCTGGATAAGAGCGTCTGCTAAATGACTAAAATGTTAAATGTAAAATTAATAGGTTACCTGTGGTACAACAGACTCCATAGGTGGAATGAATGCAAGACTACGGCATCTGGCTTGCTGCTGAGACTAGTGCAATGTAAACCGCTGTTACAACCAAAGCCCTACCAGCCATCTAACACAAGAGGTAGTCCACATAAAGCTACATAATGTACATTATCCCTTCAAACCCCCAAGTGAGTGCTTTAATTCCTGGTAGAACGTTGCCCTTAAGCACACCTCTGGATCCGCTTAGCTTCCCCATATCCTAACCATAACCATTTGGTCAGGAAAACATAAAACTGACATTAAATCAGTGTCTATGCTTTAAGGGAAACTTCCCACCTGAACCAGAGGTTAGGATGGCGTACTTCTGCTTCTGGGTCAGAGGTTACATCCTAGTCATGATCAATCCACTCTCCTTTTCAAAAGATCTGTGATCTGTTTTCTCGTGGCTGTCCGTGCTCCTCCTCAAATCTGACAACACAAACATCAATCAGCTACATGGCAGGCTACACAGTCATTACCACTAAAAAGAGAATTTGATCAGGCCAGAGAGGAAGTCCATGGATTTTACATGAATAATTTGTTTTGATGGGAATCTTGGAGAGGACACAAGAAGAAGAAAAAACAAAAACAAAAAAACAAAGCACCTTTGAAAAGATCAAAACCAGTATGGCTGAATGTTTGCGTGTGTTTGTTTGTTTGTTTTTTTGCTTGTTTGTTTTTGAGTGAATTTCCGAGGTGAGGCTCCCTCTAGATTCTGGTATCATGCGTCTCGTATCTACCCAGAGATTCCAATTAATATCTAATCAAAGCTAATTTCTCCACAGCACAAAGCCCTGTTTAATATGTAATCAAAGAGAGCCCAGCACACCGCACAAAGCAAGTCCCTCCCCCTGCCTCCAATGCTCTGTTGTCATTGAAATAAATGCTTCCCTTGGCCTAATTAGCTGGTTCTATCTTCATTTGAAGTTCGGGGCTGAATCTCAGAGTCAACGAACCTCCCGAGTGACGACATGAAGGTGACACACACACACACACACGCTACAGGTCCACTCTCCGACTACACACGCCTAACAGACCACACATTCTCACACATTACCGGCGCCCATACACACAATGCTCTATAACCCCCCTATAAAAGTGGTGGTCTGAAGGGTTCCTTTCTCTCACCTGAGAGTCCGAGGTTCTCGCAGCAGGAGTTGCAGGTGTGCTTGATGACAAAGCTCTGGATGGCAGCGTCTCCCAGGTTAGCAGGACCAAACACCATGTCACCGCATGAGCTACAGGAAGGCAAGGGGCAAAAGAGGGCACTAAAAATATATGTTTTTCAGATGTCTTTAGACCTCAAAAGAATGGATATCAAGATGACGATAAGTGTCAGTGTCACACACCGAACCACCACCGTATGAGGCGAGTACCTTTTGTCGTCTGCTCGGATGACCGATGGGTCTGTAAGCTCCGATCCCACTCCTGTGAAAGATTTAGGAGCGGAGAGAGAGATTTCAGTTCAATGTAGTAGTTTATAGGACAAACCCTGTGAAGTGATGTGGTTGCAAAATAAAGATCAAAGCATGGTGTCAAAGAAATTAAAATCCATCGATAGTCAGACAGACAGACAGACAGCTCATCAGAATGGGATGGACAGACAGCTCAAAAGAATGGGATTGACAGACAGACAGACCCTGTACGTCCAGCACCAGCAGTTCCCTGCAGGAGTATTGGTAGGTCCAGTGGGAGAAGGCCAGGAGCGCTTCCTCCATCCCACAGCAGGGGGCGATCTCTTCTCCTGTGTTATTATTGTACTTCCTGAAGTCTCCGGTCATGTTCCTCTCTATGGTCAACCACTGGCCGTCTGAGTGCCAGTGAAGAAGAGACACGTCCAGGAACCTAGGAGGAAGACGCACATTCATAACACATTTAACACGCACACATACTGTAAGACATACACGTATCATATGCACACGAGGTGAGTTTCCCCCTTACTATGTAAAGCGCTTTGAGTACCTCAGTTGGTAGAAAGGCACTATATAATCCAATCCATTATTATTATTATTAATACATATACACACACACACACGTGTACTAGTGCTGAGTCCTAGTGTTGAGTACCAACCTGGGAGAATGAGGCATGTTTTCTGGTTTTACTTGATTGAACACATGCATGAGATTCTGAGCAGCTCTCTGTTGCTGTATCTCCTGCAAGGACAAAAAACAGAAGGCCAGAATGATGCTATTAAGGGATGTAACAAATGCCAAGTAAAACATGAGGGTAAAAATGATGAGAGCTCATAACAAAAAGTAGGTGATGTTCCACCTTGCTGTGGAAAATTTATGTATGTAAGTAGGGCCAGGAGTTTATGACCTGACCAGGAAAAGATCTGTCTTACAATAACCAGGGCCCAGAGTTTATGACCTGACCAGGAAAAGATCTGTCTTACAATAACCAGGGCCCAGAGTTTATGCTTAACGGGTCTCATGGTCAGAAAACACTTCTGTCCCTAACAACAAGCTATGATGTTATATACTGTATGTACGTATATATGAGGTTTATACCCGCAGACAGAGCTGGAGGGGGGTGTCGCTGTGGAAGACCCTCTGCCAGGTGCGGACCACCTCGGGCCTGGTGGCTTTGACCACATACACGCAGCCCACCCTCAGGACGTCCCTCTCGGCCCAGGTGCAAAGTACACGCGTGGCCCTGCGCAGCCCACCATCCAGACAGCCCTCGCTGGACAGTGGCTGCAGCAACGCAGACAGCCCCCGCGATGACCAGGAGGATACGGAGAACTCCGGGCCTGCAGCTTCCACCTCTTCCAGGGAGTAGACACTCACCTCCTCTCCCGCTGCCAGGGACCATGCAACCACGGGGGAGATGTGTATTAGGGAGGCAACAGAAACAATACATTTCCACTAGCATTGCCACATTCTTTAGAAATACTTGTGAGATTATTCTAGAAATTGCTTAAAAACCAGCTAACAAATGTAAGAACAGTTTGGAGAAACAACCACACCCTAGGGGAGTCTAAAATAATAAAAACGTCAAAAAACAGTGAACTATCCCTTTAACGTGATTGGCTGATGCCTTACCCATTATGGAGACAGGTGTGAAAGGTATGGTGTGAGCAAGCCTCATCAGGTTGTTCCTTTCCATGGCTAGCACGACCACAACACGACACATCACATTTACAACACAACACACAATTTACATGTACATTTGAGTCATTTAGCAGATGCTCTTATCTAGCTTCTTACAGTTAGTGCATTCACATTAAGATAGCTAGGTTTGACATCCACATATCACAGTCATAGTAAGTACATTTTTCCTCAATAAAGTAGCTATCAGCAAAGTCAGAGCTAGTAAGGGGGGAAAGTTCACTCAAGTGTGAGTGTAAGTTCACAAAAGGCACAACACAACACAACACAACACAACACAACACAATGTAACACGATGTAACGCAACATAACCAGACAAAAGCAGGTCATATAATTTAGCTATCAGATCTACTTTTTTTATGTATGCTTTATGTGATTGTTGGGGAGTACCTGAGTAGTGTGGGTCCAGGTCTTCTGTGGATTGAAATGTAGAGGACTTTGCTAACAGACAAACAAAGGGAAAGCAGCCAAGACAGATCAAAACATGAACGATTATAGTTAACAATACCGCTTTTGCTTAGGAAGGTGACGATTCTAGCAGAGGGGGAAGCTGAGAAAAAGAAGGACAAGGAAAACTAATAGATTATTTAAAAATGTAATGCGTCATTAATACAGACAATGATTCAGGTTGCCTACCTTCAGGTGCGATCCCACTCCGCACTCTACAACAGAAGAACATACAGAACTCACACAACTATCCTACACAACTGTACACAACTTCAGTACTTCCACAATGACCACTTTCTCCACAACTCCAGCACTACTCCACGCAGACCTGAGATCAAATAGGTTTTCGGTAACACTTTATTTGGATAGGCCCAAGTAGATGGTTTGTAAAGGTTCAGTAGATGTTCAATAACTGTCAATAACATTTTAACTAACTATCCACTAACCCTAGCCCTAACCTTAACCCTTATCCTAACCCTAAACTTAACCCTTACCTTTATTCTAAACCTAACACTAGCCCTAACCGTAATCTTAGCAAGCAGTTACTTTTCAACAGATAGTGTTGATAGCATGACCATCTGTAGATATGGGACTATATCAAAATAAAGTGTAACCAGGTTTTCTTTCAAATACTAACTGCTAGCCAATCATTAGCTGCGGTTGATTGAGCTTGCCTGGCACAATGGAACCAATGGGATGGTCCCAGAAATTTGAATCCTGCCTATCCGACACTCCAGGTAGGCTCAATCAAACGCATTTGGGCTTTTTACACTACTAAGCCAAACCGGGCCGAGACAAATTGAGTTGCATGGAGATGGCATCCACCAAAGTAACTGGAACCATGCTGAAAAGGATCATGTGGAAAGGAAACATCCGAGCCAGCAGAGTTTGGTTCGGGTCAGCACGAGTGTAAAAAGGGTAAATGTGATCTCCAGAGACCGACCCATGCAGACTTACGAGGACCTGCAGCTGACAGAGCAGGCCCAGCTGGTCCACACGGACTGACTGGAGTCCTGCAGGACAAGAGCAGGAAATACATAACAGTTATTGCATTGCATTAATAAATTGTTGTTTGCCACGTCATCAACTGCACAGTCGGGCATCAGATTGCTATGTCATATGACGTGGTTAGCTGATATGGTAAACACCTATCCAGAATTAGATCTTGCAGGCAACTGCAATGTAGTAAGCCTGGAACATAGCCATAGTCTTAGGTGAGCATCTTTAACCTATTAGTCCATGGGCCAGCAGGCCAAATTTCACATACAATACCGGTCAAAAGTTTTAGAACACCTACTCATTCAAGGGTTTTTCTTTATTTTTACTATTTTCTACATTGTAAAATAATAGTGAAGACATCAAAACTATGAAATAACACATATGGAATCATGTAGTAACCAGTAAAATCAAAATGTATTTTATATTTGAGATTCTTCAAAGTATCCACCCTTTGCCTTGATGACAATGTAGAAAATAGTCAGTCAAAGGAAAATGTCAAGAACTTTGAAAGTTTCTTCAAGTGCAGTCGCAAAAACCATCAAGCGCTATGATGAAACTGGCTCTCATGAGGACCGTCACAGGAATGGAAGACCCAGAGTTACCTCTGCTGCAGAGGAAAAGTTCATTAGACTTACCAGCCTCAGAAAGTGCAGCCCAAATAAATGCTTCACAGATTTCAAGTAATAGACACATCTCAACATCAACTGTTCAGTGGAGACTGCTTGAATCAGGCCTTCATGGTCGAATTGCTGCAAAGAAACCACTACTAAAAGGACACCAATAAGAAGAAGAGACTTGCTTGGGCCAAGAAACACGAGCAATGGACATTAGACCGGTGGAAATCTATCTTTTGGTCTGATGAGTCCAAATGTGAGATTTTTGGTTCCAACCTCCATGTCTTTGCGAGAAGCAGAGTAGGTGACCGGATGATCTCTGCATGTGTGGTTCCCACCGTGAAGCATGGAGGAGGAGGTGTGATGGTGTGGGGGTGCTTTGCTGGTGACACAGTCTGTGATTTATTTAGAATTCAAGGCACACTTAACCAGTATGGCTACCACAGCATTCTGCAGCGATACGCCATCCCATCTGGTTTGCGCTTAGTGGGACTATCATTTGTTTTTCAACAGGACAATGACCCAACACACCTCCAGGCTGTGTAAGGGCTATTTGACCAAGAAGGAGAGTGATGGAGTACTGCATCAGATGACCTGGCCTCCACAATCACCCGACCTCAACCCAATTGAGATGGTTTGGGATGAATTGGACTGCAGAGTGAAGGAAAAGCGGCCAACAAGTGCCCAGTATATGTGGGAACTCCTTCAAGACTGTTGGAAAAGCATTCCAGGTGAAGCTGGTTGAGAGAATTCCAAGGCAAAGGGTGGCTGTCACGGATCCCCCCGGTACTGCTGCTCATTCCGTTCACCAGCTCCGGAGGTCTACGTCACTGGCCTTCTAGGCATCACTGATCTGGTTCATTACCACCAACCCTGGACTGTCTTGTCTCAGTACGCACACCTGGTTCCCATTCCCCCCCCGATTAGTATGTGTTTATATATGTGCCCTCTGTTCCCCATTGTCCTTGTCGATTATTGTCCCATGTCCGTTGGTCTTGTGAGTACCGTGTATTGTGCTCATGTTATTTCGGGTCTCGTCCCGTGTATTGTTTAGAGGTTTACACCTCGCTCTTTTGTTAGGGTTACATCCCTGTGTTATATACACTGCTCAAAAAATAAAGGGAACACTAAAATAACACATCCTAGATCTGAATGAATGAAATAATCTTATTAAATACTTTTTTCTTTACATAGTTGAATGTGCTGACAACAAAATCACACAAAAATTATCAATGGAAATCAAATGTATCAACCCATGGAGGTCTGAATTTGGAGTCACCCTCAAAATTAAACTGGAAAACCACACTACAGGCTGATCCAACTTTGATGTAATGTCCTTAAAACAAGTCAAAATGAGGCTCAGTAGTGTGTGTGGCCTCCACGTGCCTGTATGACCTCCCTACAACGCCTGGGCATGCTCCTGATGAGGTGGCGGATGGTCTCCTGAGGGATCTCCTCCCAGACCTGGACTAAAGCATCCGCCAACTCCTGGACAGTCTGTGGTGCAACGTGGCATTGGTGGATGGAGCGAGACATGATGTCCCAGATGTGCTCAATTGGATTCAGGTCTGGGGAACGGGCGGGCCAGTCCATAGCATCAATGCCTTCCTCTTGCAGGAACTGCTGACACACTCCAGCCACATGAGGTCTAGCATTGTCTTGCATTAGGAGGAACCCAGGGCCAACCGCACCAGCATATGGTCTCACAAGGGGTCTGAGGATCTCATCTCGGTACCTAATGGCAGTCAGGCTACCTCTGGCGAGCACATGGAGGGCTGTGCGGCCCCCTAAAGAAATGCCACCCCACACCATGACTGACCCACCGCCAAACCGGTCATGCTAGAGGATGTTGCAGGCAGCAGAACGTTCTCCACGGCGTCTCCAGACTCTGTCACCTGTCACATGTGCTCAGTGTGAACCTGCTTTAATCTGTGAAGAGCACAGGGCGCCAGTGGCGAATTTGCCAATCTTGGTGTTCTCTGGCAAATGCCAAACGTCCTGCACGGTGTTGGGCTGTAAGCACAACCCCCACCTGTGGACGTCGGGCCCTCATACCACCCTCATGGAGTCTGTTTCTGACCGTTTGAGCAGACACATGCACATTTGTGGCCTGCTGGAGGTCATGTTGCAGGGCTCTGGCAGTGCTCCTCCTGCTCCTCCTTGCACAAAGGCGGAGGTAGCGGTCCTGCTGCTGGGTTGTTGCCCTCCTACGGCCTCCTCCACGTCTCCTGATGTACTGGCCTGTCTCCTGGTAGCGCCTCCATGCTCTGGACACTACGCTGACAGACACAGCAAACCTTCTTGCCACAGCTCGCATTGATGTGCAATCCTGGACGAGCTGCACTACCTGAGCCACTTGTGTGGGTTGTAGACTCCGTCTCATGCTACCACTAGAGTGAAAGCACCGCCAGCATTCAAAAGTGACCAAAACATCAGCCAGGAAGCATAGGAACTGAGAAGTGGTCTGTGGTCACCACCTGCAGAACCACTCCTTTATTGGGGGTGTCTTGCTAATTGCCTATAATTTCCACCTGTTGTCTATTCCATTTGCACAACAGCATGTGAAATTTATTGTCAATCAGTGTTGCTTCCTAAGTGGACAGTTTGATTTCACAGAAGTGTGATTGACTTGGAGTTACATTGTGTTGTTTAAGTGTTCCTTTATTTTTTTGAGCAGTGTATATATAGTGGGGGAAAAAAGTATTTAGTCAGCCACCAATTGTGCAAGTTCTCCCACTTAAAAAGATGAGAGAGGCCTGTAATTGTCATCATAGGTACACGTCAACTATGACAGACAAAATGAGAATTTCTTTTCCAGAAAATCACATTGTAGGATTTTTAATGAATTTATTTGCAAATTATGGTTTGGGCTTCGTCCATGTCGTTGTATATGACGTACCTTGTGTTGGGTGGAGAAAAT